AACACAAGTGGCACGGTCCCTTTCGTCTTTCCTCGTCGTCCCCTCGCCCACAATAAACTGGTTTGAGACTTTTTTGAGTCCCAATGTAAAAGCGCATAATAATTGTTATAGTAGTTTTTGTTTTGTTTTGATTATACGCTTTGCTTCGAGTGAAGTTGTTAGCGACCTTCAAAGCTTCATTGAGAATATCTAGCACATCATTTGCAAGCGATCGATAGCGATTACAACTGAGCTGATGGAAATAAACAATTACACAGGTCAGCTAATAAGCATCGTTTCATATAAGACAGTTACATATGTATGTGTGTGACAAGGGTATTAAAATTTGTAAACTATGCAAAGGTACATATTAAACAATAAGGTTATGTTTATCAAACAGAAATGAACAGAATAAAGAAATATAAAATTCATTAGTGCCAGACTGTTTATTCGCCAGTCTATCTGGGAAAATAATACTTAGGGGTAATAAAAAAACACCTTAATGCTTATTTCTTAACAGCAGGCAGACTAAATAGTTCGAATTGCATCTATAAGAGGGCGTCACAAAAAGGGAATGAAAAATCTACAGCTGAAGGGAAATTTTTTTCAAATATACCGTATTCCCCGGATCTGGTATCCAGAGACTCTTTCTTGCCTTGTTTGAAGAATATAATAATTAACGAAATTACACCATCATCGATGGCAACCAGGGTTACGAACTTTTTAATCCAAAACTGTTGGATTAAAAACTAAACTTTAATTGGATTAAAAACTAAATTTTAATTTTTTAAGCCGATGTAGGGAATTAAAAATCTAATTTTCAATCCAATATGTTTATGATTAAACACTGAAAATTAAATTTATTAATTTGAATGAAATACGCAAACGCGAAACAATGATAATTGGGATTAACATTTTTCTCTTTCATTAGTTGGGATAAACATTTTTTTACCTTTTAATCCCGTACTTGGAATTACAATATAAAAAAAAATATTTAATTCAAATGTTAATTAAATTATTTTTTACAAATCATCATCAAATTTTGCCAAATAATGGCGATGAAGATTCGATGGACTACTTCCTAAGCCAATTATCATCAATATTTTCACTTTTGTGATTTTTTTTGGGGATATCGTTCCAAGGGACCGCTTTTAGAAAATGTCTTTTTAGATTAGGTATTGTTTCGGCTAAACTAGGCTAGAACTCCCTATCCTCACTCAGTGGAGGTGGTCACATACCTAACTCGTTCGTCTAATATGTTCAGCGATTAATGAACTGAAAATAAAGCAATTTCGCAAACATGGCTCTCAAAAAGACAACGCATCTGTATATATATACATATGTACATTATCTTTTTAAGTAGTATGGTAAAGTTGAAGTTATTTGTTTAAAACTTATTTTGAGTAGTAACTTTCTATTATTAAAGAATATACCAAAAGTCGATCTTTTTTAGGATATTGGGCCAAACCAATTTTTTATGAAGACGTATTTTTATAACGGCACTCATATTTAAAAAATCGATACAAAATATTTAAATTTTAATAAATTTGTACAAAAATTTCGAACTTTGAAGATGTTTCGATTTTGGAATTTCGAAGAACGAAAAAGTCGCATTTCATATCATAATCTCTTTACAATCTCTCTTGTTTGGGTAGGTTGTGCAGTGATGTTGATCAAAGTATGAGTGGAAGCCACGATCATATTTTTAAATAAAATGAACTGTAAAATATATATTTTCTATTACTATATTTTATTCGTATTGTATATATGTATACATATTTTGTTAAAATGTTTTACATGCGATTATTTTATTTCGGTAATTTTGATATTTCGAATTATTCTCGAATCACTTAACGCATATTATTCAAATTCAAAAAGTCGGAAGTGCAAAGTAACAACACCGTTTTTAAATACTTAGTGTTGGTGTATTTAACTATTTTAAAAATAATTATCGAGTTATTAATATTATATCTATAAAATCATACATATAATAATTATGGCTATAATTATATTAATATTTTTGTATATTTATAATTCTAGTTTTTATTTTAATATTATTGTTAATTTTTTAATATAATTATTGCTATTGCTTATACATATATATATTTTTTTATAGTAAATATGCACAAATATAGCAGTGATTCGCAATAATTATTTAATTTTTCTAGAACTAAGTATATAGATACTGTTGTTAGTTGCTTTTAGTTGATAGTCTCGTTTTACAAGGGACTGCTTCATGTTAACTTGATTTATGCAAAATATATATATCTATGTAAGTTATAGTTATAGAACTGTAAGCCAATATGCTTGGTGTACATATTAATATTTGCTTCCATAAATATTTATTTATTTTGTTTTTGATTTTATGTGTGCACGCATAAAAAGTGGGGAGGAGGTATTTTTGTAATCCATATTTACAATTAATTAGGTATAGTTAATTGAAAAGAAAAATATAAAGAAGCAATTAGAGAGCTGCAGCTTTCATATACAAAATATAAAGGCAGTTTAATAAAATATATATATTTTTAAATATATATTATATAATATATATTTAATTGTGAAAAGTTATATTTTAATACGATTTGTAGAAATGATACTTTGTAATTATTTTTCTTTTCATTCAAAGCTAATATCTTCATATAGGTATATAAAATTATTATTAGTTTTTTACATTTGGTTTTGTTATATTTATTTAATATTTAATTTTTTATTTAAATATTTATTTTTGTCAGAATGTATTGTACATCATTTATAATATATTTTTATATAGGTATACTCGTATGTAATGATATTATTATTATTATATTTCTTCACAATAATTTCTTGTTTCAAACATATTTATATTATTTTATTGTAAGACAAAAGAAAGTTTTTTTTTTGAATTTTATTATTTTTATATTGTTTTCTTTTATAATCCACTAAAATTTAAACTTCGCTGGTATTTTATAATGTATTCTTTTATATTTTTATTTAAAATATAATATTGCGTATGCTAATTCACTTCGGTTTGTATAATTTTATATGTTTAATTATTATGATTAAATTACAATACAAAAATCAAAAAGTCAAAAGTCTAATTTAGCAAACTCGCTACAAAGTGAAAGTCAAGCTTGGCTTGGTGTCCTATTTCTTTCTTACATAATCAGTGTGTGGACTTCTATCCGCTGCTTTAGGAATTATGAGGGTTGCATATGCCTCATTAGATCTTTAGTTCTCAAAGTGAGTCTGTTCAATGATTACACTTCTAGAGTTACGAAAAGGTAGAGTAGTAGTAATTAATGTTTGGGAAGTCGAAAACGGGAATTTTTGAAATCTATGTTGATGTTTTTTTTTGTGTCGACAATATGACAAAGTGACTTAATTCGATTTAATTTAATTAGGCTATACTGATTAATTTATTTGAGTCTCGAAACTATTAATTTTGTGAATTTTTTTTTCATTTCGGCAGCTCTAACAATTAATTTAAATTTCAAATAAATCCAATAAGTCGACTTAAGTTATTTTAACACATTCATCTCATTTATAATCATTCCATCCAAAATTCACAATAAACATTTTTTTCGTACAAAACATATTTTTTGTGTTCTTTGAGGCAAAATATTGGACACATATCTTTTTATTTCGACTTCATATGAAAAATTTTGAAGTTATGAATTTTCAAAATTTCAACGCTTGAAAAAAATGCTTTTTAACATTTGCGTATACGAATAAAAGTATTTCATTATGAAAATAACTAGCCGGCCTAATGTTTACGACTTTTTCTCAGCTTTCCAATAAGATATAGCTTGAATTTTTTGACTTTGTTTTTATAAACAATAGGTACATTTTTATAAATAAATATTTTTTTGTTGAATACTTTGCCTCAAAGAACGCAAAAAAAATGTTTGTACGAAAAAAATTTTCGAATGTAAATTTTCGATGGAATGATTCATATACATAGGTATACATCAATTTAACATTTTTCGCATTTTTGTAATTTTGCTGATCCTTTTGTCCATATTTGTGGTATGAGCCTTGATATTATAAAACACAATAGAAGCAATTACAAATATTGTGCCTCCAATCAATAGTTGATTGTTTTTATGAGAAGCTTTTTCTTGTTATAGAAATGTCCATTGAGGTTTCATTTTGGCAGTTGGTACAGAAAAACTCCTAATTTTTAGACCTTGCTTCCATCAGGACTTGAACTTTTTGTGAAGGTTTCTCACTTAACGCTCGACTGTGCCATATATATGTCACACAAAATTATGAGTAGAAAAATTGCTTACAATGTTCGCTTTGCGTGAGGCTTCGCAGCTGATATTTTCGTAGAAATTAAAATACAAATTTTTATTGCGATTATGATTGTGGATCGTGTATCAATATTTTCGAGATATTTGATCACTTCATCGCTTGCAACCTGATAAACTATACAAACACGTGTTAATTGACCTAATAAATTCTGGTTTACTTTCATGTGTTCGTAAAATTTGCGTAAACGCATATAACTTAAATATGAATGGGTGAATTATATTATTTAAAACTCAATACCTCATTTTATCTTATCTGCTTTGCCTTTGCTGCTTAATCATTATTTTTTTAATTTGTTTTTATTTTTACTTATACTTTTGTTTTATTTGAAAATCTGTTTTAAATTATCACAACCGTCACATTTGCAGTACAAACATACGACGATAAACAATAAATTCGTATACCCTCGTGACCGTCAATCAAATCGAAGTTACATTTCGCGTACACACTTTTAATTACATGTATTGTGTGTATATAATAAATTTACATATGTAAATATATAACGAGTTAATTGGGCAGAAAAATTAAATAAAAAAATATTAAAAAAAGAAAAATTGAAAAATTGATTGATCAATGACAAATTAGTGGCTTTTTTTTTTCCAAAAATAAATTCATGGTTTCTTGAAAATTAAAAAAAAATACAATAAACAAAAACAAATTTTCAGCTTTAAAATAAAATTAATTATAAAAATAAAATATAAAAAAATCTATAAAGTAAAATCAAGTGACTATTTCGTTGGTTAAGCTAATTATTTATACATATAGATATAGATTAGTCTAAAAACACATATACGTATACACCTCCATTTATATCTATCAAAATTATAAGTAGCGCTACTCTTGGTCTACATGACTTGCGTCAATTATCCGTTCAGCGTATCCCCCCGCCCACATGCGTAGCTGTGAATCAAGTTTCGCATTGCTGTTGTGAAGTTGCTTAGCAATTGTGACATTTCACCAGTCCAACTTCATCGCAATTCATGCATTTCAGTGCCACAAATTCGGCCGTGAAATGATTTCGATGCACCGATTTTTTAGACCCATTACATGAGGGGCATGGCAGTAAGCGGTAGCCGCCGCATGTTTGACATGTGAATGTCGTAGCAATTGACTGTAAAACAAAAAATGAATAATTAATAATTCAAATTTAAATTCAAACATATAGTTAAATAAAAAGAAAATTAAAAATCATTAAAGGGCAAGTAACCAACATTTCTAAACAAAATCTTTTTTATAAAAAAACAATTGAAATAAATAAATAAAAACTAAAATATTTAAATAAATATTAAAAATTATTAAAACATATTTCAGTGAAAAAAATTGTCAAAAATAAAGGCCAATTAAGAGTTAAATTAAAAAAAAACATAAATACAGCAAAAAATCATAAAACAAAAGCTGATCGTGAAAAGTTATTACAATAAACAACAAATAAACATTTAAATAATCGAAAAAAATTTAAAATTAAAAAAAAAAATTACAACAAAAGATAACAAAATAATTCTTATAATAAATCAGAAATTTAGAAAAAAATGTTATTTATTATTTATTATTTTCGATCGGTTTGTATGGCAGATATATGTTATAGTTGTCAAATGACAATTGTTAGGATATCATTGCATTGCATTGGATAATAATCGGTGCCAAATATCGTGACGATACCTTGTTAAATAAAAAAGTTTTCCATATAACAACTTGATTCCGATCGTTCAGTTTGTATGGCAGCTATATGCTTTAGTTATTCGATATCGGCGGATCCTACAAATAATCAGCTCTTTAGGGAGAAAAGGGCGTATGCAAAATATTAGATCGATATCTCAAAAACTGGGGGACTAGTTCGCGTATATACAGATGGACAAGGCTAAATCGACTCAGCTCATCTCGCTGAGCATTTATATATTATATATACTTTATAGGGTCTCTGACGTTTTTTGGTGTTAGTTATAGTAATATTTAATAACTAATATTTAATATATAATAATAGTGTAAAAATGTAGTCAAAATTAAATAAGATTTACTTAAAAAATTAGTAGAAGTAAACCACAAAATAAATTAATTAAAAAAGTAGATAATGTTACAAAATAGATAATGTTTTAAAAAAATTAGAAAATAAAGAAGTATAACAAACTAATTCTTATAAATGAATTTAAAAAATTCAAAAATTATAAAAACACACAACACGACAGAACTTGATATGCGGACACCACCCATTATTGTGTTTTCAGTTAAATTGACCATGAAATGCCACTCGTTGACGAATCAATATTTATTTGTGTGCGAAGGAATTTCCTTTGATCTAACAGCAATATGCCATGGGCAATGCTCTGAACCCACGTGTTGACAGAAAGACAAACAAACGACTTACCTTGTATGGTTTGAGCAGCTGACGCAGTTCACCAGATTCATTCAGTCGTTCCACAGTGTCAGCATCCTGCAAAAATAAATAATAATGCATAAATAATTAAACGTAAACACGAGCTGTTAGGCGACAGAGCCGTTGTTGATATATAATACATAAAGATGCATGTACAAACAAAAGACTTAAGAAGGAAACTTGCTTGCAATGTTTGGCAACTCTTTGCTTTGCAGCTGATATTTTTGTAGAAATAAAAATAAAATTTTCCATTGCGATAATCACTGTGGAAAATTATGTTATCTACGTCAAATGCTGACATCATATTTTTATACATTTTTTACTTTAGTTTTTGTTTTAATTTATCGATTCAAAGCGACATGGACATTTACATGTACATATGTATGTATAAAAAAGCATACATATAAGCAAACAATTTTAATAAACTGTTACTTTGAATATTCAGCGTAACGCATAACTATACGCACACATACACATATAAATGTACATATGTAAATATGAACTTATATACATATAATTAGTAATTCAATTTGCGTGTGAATCAATTAATGCTACGCATCTAATTTCCATACGCTCATTAAATTACACCACACGCATCTTTCTTGACATAATCAAAAAAGTGAAAAGGCAAAGAGAAATTAAGTAATGTAATACAAGTATTTATGCTGTAACTGTTTTTGTATTTTTTTTTGCCATTTGAAATTTATTTTTCATAATTTATTTATTTCGCAAAAATAAAATTTATTATACTTCCTTCAGGATTTTACTAAATCGGCATGATGTTCATGTGCCGTACAATAAAATATATTTAATTTTATTCAATCTTCTTAAAAATATGCGAAGAGCAATATTATATTTTCATAAAGAAAAATATTACAAATCTGTGGAAGAAAAAGTTTTTTTTACATACAATAACTGGGTTGTAATCAAAAGTAATGAATAAGTTTACAAATATTTACAAAGTTGGCTTTTAAGTAAATAATTTGCGGTCTAGTGAGTATTACAAACAGACATAACGGTATGCACATACTTATATGTAAGTATGTATACTCAGTTATGGAAAGAAACCAATTGTACAAGTAATCGACAATTTCACTTTCCTCGTGAGTAAATTACGAGATGACGAACACTTGCTTTTCAGACATCGATTGTTTTCGACTTTTGTTGTAACTATGTAGGAGTATGTACTTGCACAGCTACTGCTAAATATTGGCCATGATAATGGCAGTGAGAGCAACGGTACTCACAGACAGTGCGGCGGGAGGGTAATTGCAACTTTTTCAGAAAAAGAAATATATACATTTAGACATACATATGTATGTACATGCTATGGTCAATATAACAGGTTTATAATACACGCGCAACTGCTGTGAACGTTTTTTTTATGGTTTTATTTATTTATTGTTTTTAATACAATACATTTTTATTTTTAAACGGACTGAGTATAAACCTTGCAGTATTCGAATGAATTTCAATGGAAATTGTAGCAGTACATTTGTTGAATTATTAATAACAGCGGGTGGGTAACAACTACTTCACACGCATGTGCATGAAGTTGGCAAAGTGGCAGTGAGGCAGCCACCAAGCACCCAAGCGATAAAGCAAATAAAGAAAAAATTTAATACAAAAAAGGCAGATAATGATGCGCTAAAATTGCGCTAAAATTGCGCTAATGTATAATGCATTTATCCAAATGTATATATGTTTGTATGCATGTATGTAAATGTGTAATTTCTATGCAGCGAGTGCGACCCTGTCTTTATGTCTGTATGAATAAATGGGTGTATGCATGCGAATCACTCGCAGCCTTGAGCAATTCGAAAAGTATGTGTTCATTAATGCAAATCGCTGCATAAAAATTGAAGTGTCAACAGCAGTAAGCCCCTGCCCCACCTTCAGCTGCGACGTGCAAATATCTACCTTCCAGATGTCACTGAAATTGAAAATTTCCGTTTTTTTGATTTCACTTTCAAATTCATGCAGTAGAAGCTCTAAAATTATTGCTTCAAAACAATGACTTAAGAAACATTTTTTTTGAAGTTTTTATATTTTTATGTCCTTGCAGACAATCCAGCAGGAACAAATATTTTTTTAAACATTATGTTAAACAAAGAAGTGTCAGGAATTTTGTTTCATTAATACTAATACTGAGCTCAGCTCAACAAGCGTAATATTCGTCCGTTACTGGAAGTACTTACATATAATGCTTCATGTAAAAGAATAACTAGTTCTAACCTAAAAGACTTTACAATTACAACTGTATTACATTGCGTTTTTCTAGCTGCCTCCTTAGGAATTAAATATATTAGGTGTTCAAAAATGATACAAATATGTAGGTTTCTCCATAGTGCTTTACTAACATTGTGGTGATAAGAATTGAGTTCTACAATAATATAAGGTCGTTATAGATTAGTACAGGTGTAATTACTTGGTGCTAGGTCCGGACTAGAATTATTTATTCTCACTAAACCACATTTACTTTAACTTCGGCTGCACCGCATATCTAATACCCTTCACGTGCGTATTTCTTATAGCATAAAAGGGTATACAAATATATTTATATAGATTTCGATTTCGACAGTGTTCTGATCTGAACTATTTGGATTCAGAACAATTCGGAGATCAGAGAGCTTTCTTGAATAATAATGGATACCAAATTTCGTGAAGATGTTTTGTTTAATATAAAAGTTTTCATACGAGGACTTGAGTTTGATATAGCTGTCATTACATTCGACATTCGAAATGTTTCTACTTTGACTATATTTATTGAAATTCATAAAAACGATCTGAAAATGAGTAAAAATTGGTTATTTGGTGGGGAGACCTGGTTGTTTGAAAGCGTTCTTTATTTGATAAGTGAAAGCACGATGAAAAATTCATTCAACATATGTACATATTCATTTAGTTTTTGGTAATAATATTATTAATATTTTTAACTTTAAACGGATAAAATATTAGGGACAACAACAATATAAGGCACTTACTATGTATTTAGAAATCATTGTTATAAAAAAAATACACTTGCATTCACATATTCAGAGATCGTTGCTTAAATTTTTAATATTTTAATTGAAGAAGCCTGTAATTTTTTTTTTGTATATTGTTCAATCTACGTGATATATGCGAATATGGCCCTAATGCACTCAAAAATTTGTTTTTAGAATAAAAATATATTTGAAGTTCTTGTATGTATTTTAAAACTTCGAGAACTGACGGAAGCTTTAGATAATATCAGCACCATCCAAAACGTCTTCACCAATAAACATATGATTTCGATTGCTGATGCCACAAATGTAGAGAAATATGTAACATACATATGTGGGGCAATGCCAGATTATTTTTTTAAACGAAAGTGTGCAATTAACCGGAGGAAATAACACATATTTGTATTATATGCAATATATTTTTGACCATCATTGTTCAGGTGATTCAAACAAGCGGGAAAATCAATTAACCGAGGGTCAATTAAACGGGGGATATTGTATTGGAATTTTATAAATTAATTCCTATTTCGCCATAATGGTTGTGGTTAAGTCCATGGCGTTATGTAATAACAATCTGCTTATAATAGTTGTTGTTTTCTCATTAGGGAGAACTTTGTAGAATGTGTTTAATCAATTAAAATTAATTTATATTAATCATTTCAAACTATTAGACTTGAATATATCGGAATATTATTGTTAAAGGTCAAAGGTACTCAATTAAGCTTCAAGAACTAGTATTTGGCAGTTGTCTAAAAATGTATTGGTTTGTGAAAACTTCTTTAGATTTCAGTTGATTTTAATATTGATTTTTTCCGTTATTAGAAGCCAGCAGCTAATTTACTTTCCCACCAAAAAAGCACTTTTCTCTGCTCGTTGAACACATTTCACAAATACAATCAATTTACTACTAATCCACCAATTAGTTACTTTCTCCACTGCATGGAGAATTAAGAACAATAATTTGGATAACATTTCTGAAATCCTATTAATTGCCTTATAAGAGTTGTTCACTTTTTGGTATGATAATTTATACACTTTACAGATTAACATGAAAGTAAAATAATATCTCATAAAGTGATCATTTAAATACTTATTGGACAATGAGGTCATTACTCAATTGTGTTGTAAATTGTATAAAATTTGGGATTAAATTGCTGAAATAACATGAATTGCTCATTTTACTGTAAGCCATTAAGGTGTAATTTTGAAAATATAAATTTTTGGAAACTATTTTTTATTACAAATGTGCTCTTAGTATATTTAAAGAAACTTCCAGTACATTAATCATTTTACTAATAATATTATCTTATAGTATTATTTCGCGTCGTGTTCATCTGTGGCTATATTCATTTCAAAGGTACTGTCATTTCGCGTCGTTTTAAGTAGATGTCATTTGTTTTAGCGTGAACAACAATTTGTTTCATTCATTTGAAAATGTCGAAATTTGTACTAGATAAAGTGTTTTTGCGGGGAGTTCTTCTTCATTACTTTAACATGAAGAAAAGTGTTACCGAAAGCCATCGTATTTTACTTTACGTTTATGGTGGCCATGCTTTAGCCGAACGAACGTGCCAAAAGTGGTTTGCACGGTTTAAAAGTGGCAATTTCGATTTAGACGACGGAGAATGATCCGGACAGCCAAAAAAATTTCAAGACGAAGAATTGAAGACATTGCTCGACTCTGATGCATGCCAGACGCAAGAAGAACTTGCAAAAGTATTAGGAGTTGATCAAGCAACCGTTTCCAGACGATTAAAATCATTAGGATTCATGCAGAAGCTTGGAAATTGGGTGCCTTATGAATTAAAGCCAAGAGACGTCGAACGTCGATTCTGCATGTCGGAAATGTTGCTTCAACGCCACCAAAAGAAGTAATTTTTGCATCGGATTGTCACTGGCTATGAAAAATGAATTCCTTATGATAACCCAAAGCGCAAGAGATCGTATGTGAAGCCTGGCCAACCATCGACATCCACGGCAAAGCCGAATATCCATGGTGCCAAGGTTATGCTATGTATTTGGTGGGACCACAAGGGTGTGCTCTTTTATGAGCTATTGAAATCGGGTCAGACG